CGTCACATTTCTGGGGAGAATGACTTAGCTGGGTGTTGTTTTTTTTTTTTTTTTTTTTTTTTTTTTTTTGTCTTTTTCCGTGTGTGGCAATGGATCGCAACCCTCAGTGTTGCCCCCGGACCGGACCGGGGACCGGCAACGGGATCGCAACTCTCGGTGTTGCTCCCGCGCCTTGCTCAGCCAGTGAGCGGGAACCGGTCTGTATGTGGGATCCGAAACCTCGGGCGGGAGTGCCGCCGCGCTTCCCAAGCGGCGCACTATCCAGTGCGCCACCGGGCCAGCCCTTAGCTGGGTGTTTTGACTCTGATATCTCATGAAGTTGCAATTAAGATGTCAGTAGGGCCGCAGTCATCAGAAGACTGGGGCTGGATGATTCACTTCCAAGTTGGCTAGTATGTTAGTGTTAGCTGTTGACAGGAGGACTTTCCCTAGGGCTGATTGAATGTCTTCATGGTGTGGTCTCTCAAAGCACATGATCCAAAAACATTCAAGACAAAACCCCCAATGTCTTTTATGACCTAACCTTGGACCTAATGCCATCATTTCTGCAATATCCTATAGGGTATACAGGTCAACCCTATTCAGTGTGGGAGGGGCCTACAAAAGGCACGTGTATCAAATCACTGGGAGCCATACTGGAGGCTGGTTAACACAGAGAGCCAGTGAGAAGGCATTGGGTAAATTGGATTTGTGTCCTAAGCCCACAGGTCCTGGTTCCACAAGGATAAGACATAATTGTGATGTGAGTAGAAAGAAGCCCAAGGAAGAGGAATCTATCGTGGAAGGAGATTCCTGACCTGAGACGTGCCCCAGAGGCTGGAGCATCCTGGGAAAGAGTGGACCCTGGCATTGCTGGACCTCAGGCTATCTTGACTCTTCTACGCAGAACCAGCAAGGTCTGAATGACAGCTCAACCTTCAGTAATCAGCAACAGCTGTGTGACAATGAAGCGTTTGACCCAGATGATGGAAAGGAGAGGTGAGGTGGCTCAGAGACTGGCAGAGTTTAGGAGAGGGACAGTGTAAAAGAGCACATTCAGTACTCCTACCAAGAAAATTTTCATGGATGTTATTGACTGTGCATGGTAGACATTTTAAAGAATTTTATTTACTTGACTATTTGATTTTTTAAAATAAATTTTTTAAATGTAATTTCTATTTTTTTTAAAGAATACATTTACACATATTTTTTAAATGCTATTATGTAGTCATAAACAAAAGTTTCCTAGGGGCTGGCCAGTTAGCTCAGTTGGTTAGAGCTCATACTTAAAATATCAGGGTCACAGGTTCAGATCCCTGTACTGGCCAGCCACCAAAAAAAAAAAAAAGTTTTCTACTTCATCTCTTCTCATCCAGTTCCCACTCCCCAGAAGCAACCATTTTGAACATTTTTGTCTGGATATTCTGGTATTCAACTCCATTTTTCTGAATAACATCCCAAATACTGCTAATACTTGATTTCTCAGTTTTAGATATTTTTGACAGTGGAGATAAGGATTTAGTCCTCTTTCACTGTCTAACCCCATCTTTGTCACCCCCACCCCAACACACTTCTCTGTTTGCCCATCTTTCTAATATGGTGTTTTTTGGGAGGTTGAAGGTTGACCAAATGTCAGGATCTGTAGGCATTTTCTTTGGGGTTAGTCAGTTTCCCCAGTGAGAAATACTAGATTTTGCTTGGGAAATATAAGCCAGAAGTCCCACTTTTTGGGAGACAAACAAGGGAGGAAGTGGTGGGGTGGGTACTTCATCTTGTAATATGAGAACTTTCACTTAATTCTTTTTTCTCTACATTGCTTTACCCTTGCCTTTATCTGGATCTGGTGTGCCTGAAATCTAGAGTCTGTCTCTTTCAGTATATCTAGAGAAAAAAAGTCTGTGAGGGAAATGTCTCCATACTATTTGGAGTGAAAGAAGACATCAAATGGTCTCAACACCTTTTTATGACATCTTATATTCAGCTCCCTGTTTTTCAGCCCTACTTCCAAACTCCTGTCTGTAGAAGTGCCTAGAATCTCCATTCCTGAGCCTTTCTAGGTTCCCCTTGGCCTCCCCACCGTCACTTAAGCTTCGGCTTTATCTGGTTAAGTTAGACACCATTCGTTTATCTGCTTTCTAGTTTCCAAAATTTGTTGACATCTCTTATCTGCTGAAGTCTTCCTTATTCTTTTTCCTTGTTTCTTCCTTTGTTTCTTTACTAACATTTTGATTGGGTTTGGGACAGAGAAGAAATAAATGCAAGATTTCCTTGTGAATGTTAGCTTCCTTTGTTTCTTTACTAACATTTTGATTGGGTTTGGGACAGAGAAGAAATAAATGCAAGTAATCAACCTTCCATTTTTAACTAGAAGGCCCTGAATTTTTTTAGGGTAAAAATAAATCAGGTTATTTAAAAATGTGATTAGAATCATGACTGCATTTTATTCTATCATATGAATGTCCCACATTGCCTATTAGTCTCTGATTAGGGGTTTTTTTCCCCCAAAAATCTTCATGGTGAAAAAAATCACCTTAAAGGACATCTTAATCTTTAAGTCTTTGTGGTGTTTATAATTATGTACTTAAGATCAATTTCCATTAGGAATAAAATAGCAAGATCCTAGGGGAATACTATATTGCCAACAGATTCATTGGGTACCCTATACTTAGCCCTCCAGAAATCCTCATCATGATTAAATTAGTCATCCATGCACATTTCAGTGTCTATATAGCTTAACAGTGGTTAACATTACTCATGGCCCTGAGATCATTCATCAATAGGAGATCTTATAGCCACATGGTACTGAGGATTTCTATATTCCTTTGTCTGGAACCCTGGAGCAAATCTATTTTGTTTTTCTTCCTTCAGCTTGGCGTTCTCAGGACTCTGCCCTTTCCGAGGAAGAAGAGGATACAACCAGGTCTCCTGTATGTTTTAAGCATTTATTTGATTCCTGCATTGTTTTGCAGTGTAGTCACAGTGGGTTACTGTTACTTACCAGTAAGCTGGAAACAATTACATTGATGAAAATTGAAGTGAAGAAAAATACAAATAGAAAATCAGAACCAAGGGAAATTTGGGATCTGGCTATGCACAAACAGGTACATACAGAATTATTAAAGTTGAGTTCAAATTTAAATATGATCTAGAGAGTCAAAGCAAACTGGGACACAAAGTTCATTTCATAATTTGTACTGTGATGAGGAAAAAACTTTTAAAAAGCTAATTAAGGAAAGAAAAAGCTTTTTATTGGCACCTAGGTCAAAAAGAAATTCTAAAATAATTCCATGATTCTTAAAATTTTAAGCTCAGTTTTTAAAAGTCAATCCTGGCCAAAGATCAAAACCTGAAATTATTAGAAGAGGAAGCAGAACACATGTCTTTCAAATGATCCTACATACAGTTGGCCTTTTAACAACTTGGGTTTGAATGTGTGGGTCCACTTATATGTGTATTTTTTTCAATAAATATATTGTAACATTTTTGGTTAGCTATGTCATACAAATGAATGACATACCTGTCATTTGTATGACATACCTAACCAAACAGTTAAGCATCCTACCTAACAGTAGGCTATTAAGTAGTTAGGTGGTTAACTACTAAAGTTACTTAAGTACTAGTTAAGTAGTTAAGTTTTGGGGGAGTCAAAAATTATACATGGATTTTCAGCTGTGTGGGGGTTGGTGTCCCTAACCCCCGTGTTGTTCAAGGGTCAGTTGTATGAGGGTACTTCAAAAAGTTGATGAAAAGATTTACATTATCTTTTAATTCTATTTTTCCACAAACTTTCTGAAGTGCCCTTGTATATATTTTCTTCAGTTGAGCTTTTGCTACAAGTTAGGCTAAATTACAGTAAATTCTGTGGCAGAGCCTTGTAGTTCTGATATTCATACCTTTCCACATCTTTTCTGTGGTCTTAAAAGATGCAGTGTTCTTCATTGTCTTAGAAAATTACCTATTCTATTCTGCTCTTGATTCTTTTTGTTTCCACCCCTGAAGTCACTCACATTCCTGTATTTTGAACATTTTCCACTTCATTCCTCTTTTCCCACAGTTCATATCTTTCCCATTGTGGAACACACACACTTCTTTTGACCATATAATCATATGGTTCACCCAGTTATTTCTCTTGTTGGCACAATGGTTTTCTGACTCTACATGGACTTAGGTTTAAAGCTCGGCTCAGTGACTTATGAAGTATATGACTATGGGCAAGTTTTTTAATCTCTTTGTGTCTCAGTTGCATCATTTTTAAATGGGAATAATAATGGTACTTATCCCACAGGAATGTGGGAGGGTTAAATGCGTGGATTAAGTGCTCCATAAATGATAGGTATTGTTAATCATCATTAGCTATATAATCTTTCCTTCCTGATACAGTCATTAGATGTGTTGACTGTATTCATTGACCTCCTTTTTAGTTTAACATGTAATTCATAAGATGAAAGAGAAGATTGCCTGACTTGGGTTCATAAAATTAGTCCTTTTTTTCAGTAAAACCACCATAACTGCTATAAAAAGGCAAAGCTAGGAACTGTTTTTGTAATACAAGGGTACTTCAAAAACTTCATGGAAAAATAGAATTAAAAGATAATATGAATCTTTTTTTTTTTCCTTTTTTTTGTCTTTTTTCGTGACCGGCAACGGATCGCAAC